CTTGGGCTTGCCATGCTTTTTTGATTTGTTTTTTGCTCTAATTTGAACCAAAGTGGTTCACTTTTTTTTTTTTTTTTTTTTTTTTTTTTTGCAAGAGTGATTACCTTGCACCACTAGTAATCACTCTCAAATTATTAAAGATCAGCATTGGTAAGTTCTAGTTTTCTCCATTAAAAGGGTCTCTGACATGATGCAATTAGGAAAATAGATGGAAGCCTCATTCTCGTCTTCCTCATAAAAGAAGCAACTGTGAAGGCTTTTTAACTAACTAGTACAAATAATAGGTAGTGTCATGGTTTGGGTAATGAAAAAAGTACTTTTCCAGATCTGAGAATACTTGAAAGGGTTTGTTTAATGTAATGTTTTTGATTATTGTCATGTTGTGGAGATAATGATGTGAAGGTTCCATTACAAACCCTGACATTTCAACCAGAATGATGTATAGTTTTAGAAGACAGAACTTTAAAAGCTTTTGATAATGTGTCTGTCCTGTGTCTCTGTCTGTGTACCATTCCTCCCCCGGTTTAGAGGCGTTCTTTTTTTGTTTTTTTTCTAGGCACTTTGTGCTGGCCTTTAAGTTTGCTCATAAAATGAAAATGCATTTGTGCATGACTAATAGGAAGATTTATGCATAGCTGTGAAACCCCAGAAGTTGTTTTCTGAAATTTTGGCAATAAGCATTTGATCTAAATGCATTTTATTAATTTCTTTTTAACTTTTTCTTCCCTTCTCCCTATAGAGCTGATGGAGGTGTCAGTAATAATAGTTTTGTCATGCAGATGACTTCAGATTTAATTAATAAGAAAATAGAAAAACCTGCAAATGCAGACATGTCTAGTCTTGGTGCAGCTTTTCTAGCAGGCCTTGCTTCAGGTATGTATACATTAAAAGGGGTTTTGTTTTTCCCTTCATAATGCATGTTTATAAATAAGGAAAAAAAAATTCAGAAAAAAACGGTGCATAACTTCACATAATGTTAAAGCTCCCCAAACTTTAACAATTTTTGTGGGAATCAAAGGTAAGTAGTGTTTATGTTTCTCTGTACAGTGCTTTGTACCCAGGTACTTGTATTTGATGGGCTAAAGAAACAAATGATATTGTCAAACATAAACCAAATCAAGGACCTTAATTGTATTTCTAACACAGTGTCCCAACTTGCTGAGCAGCTGTATGCTAGTTTAGTTCCTATAAACGAATAGCGACAGTGAGTTTAAAGTGAGAAGTGTCTGCCTGTGTTTGTAAGGTTCATTTACGCTTGGAAGGAGATGCCCCTGGAGAAGGAAGAGGGGAACCCAGTCTTGCTGCCTCCCTCTTCCTTGCCCCGGCCACTGCATCCCTTCCCGTGTTGGCGCTGCCCACGGCGCGGCGCTCGGTGGGGATGGATCACGTGGCAAGGACGCTGCCGCGCGTACGTGCAGCCCTGTCGTGCCCACCAAAGCTGTGTCCTGTCATCCATGGACCGAGTTCTTATTCTCATAAGATTGGCGCAGAAATAAATACAATGGAAGTACAAAATAAATTATTAACAGGAAAAAAATCTGGCTCTACTCACACAGATCTGTTGTGTATAATTAACCAGACTTAGAACTGCAAACTGTCAATGGTTTTGCTTAATACACACCTACAAAATATGTTTCTATTAACGTCATTAAATGGCTTTTTGTGTAAATAACACAACTGGAAGATAAAAACTATATGCTCAGATAAGACTTATTCCTCAATTAAAACTAAGAAAGTCCTTGACAGACAAGAATAATTCAATAACATAAATTAATCTGAGTATGTAACACCAGCTGCTTTCTGCCATTTATGCATTTTTAAGATGGTAGGAAAGGAGCTAGAGCGAAGTCTTTGTTTCTGTGGCCCTTCTTTGAGAGGGACCTGCAGCCGAAAGCGTAGTGTGGATGAGAGCGAAGGGAACGTCAGTGTACCAGAGCTGGTCCTTGGAAACTGTCCCAGTTCAGCAGATGTGCTGTTGTCAGGATTCCAAACAAGTGGATGCTATTGGAAAGGAGTTTCACAATGTTAAAAATATGCTTCCCTCTGAGAAAGTTGTTGGTTGAGTAAAGAAAAGCTGTCATGATTTCTTACTGTGTTTCTGCTTTGGATCTCTTGGAAGTAAATTAAAACAACTCAAAAATAACATATTTGCAGTTGAGCTTGAGAATGAACTTTCTGTTTATAGGGTTTTGGACTGACAAAGAACAACTAAAGAAACTAAGGCGAATAGAAGCAGTTTTTGAGCCCCAGAAGGACTCAGAGGAATACAAACCTGCTATGGATACCTGGCTACAGGCAATGAAATGCTCCCTGCACTGGTAGAAACTGTCATTTTAAGTATAGAAGAATTAAAATTTTTCAACTCATATTTATAAAATCTTGACATAAACAGGACACTAAAGAACGTAACTGAAATTTGTTACCCTCCTGCTGCTAGATTACTTACCACACCATGATGAACCTTCATATCATCCCTATGACAGCTGTAGTCCAGCTGCAGCATTGGTGTCCCTTCGGTGACCTCCTTTGGGTGGCCCAGCTGCTTGAATACTACCATGTACTAGAGATGGGGAGATTTTTCCTATGATGGGTTTTCTACTGAGGAACTCACCTCCCTTCTGATCTTTAAAATCTTTGGTATGTTAGTCATCAAGGGAGGGTAAAAGGCACATACACTTCCCTAGGCGTTTCTAAAAAACATAAAATGATTGTTGAGGGGTGAGTTGTGATGAACTTGATTGTGCACAAAGATGTATTCTTATTAGTGGCCTGTTACCACCTTTTGGTTGACTTCCTAAGGAAGCATTTGACCCACCTCTGTGATTACTTTTTTGTGTGCTTAAATTAAGATGAAATACAAAAGCAAATAGGCTTTCAGTACTGATTAAAAAAAAATTAAAATCCAGGATTTTTGTAGCTGATGGTTCCTATCTAGCTTGCAGCTCAAGTTGTTTAAATTTTATAAAGACCAAAAGTTTTATTATCTGGCATGGCTAATACAAATACATTAAAAGTAGTTACAGGTATGCTATCTAAATTGTAAAAATCTGTAACATTAGTATTTTTAAGCCCATTGTTAAATCTTATTAGTTGAAAGGGGGTCAAAAGTCTATTTTTGATGCTATTACTTTTATATTTTTAAATAAATTATAATTAAATAAATATGTAGTTAATTATTCCTATGTATTTATCACTAATCTTAAATCGTAACTTTCTCAGGAGTATGTGTAAATCAGTTTCAAAAATGTAAAATTATTAAACATTTTCACTTCAGAATAATATCAAATTCAAGCTGTGAGTGATTGTGTTCCACAGACACTGGAGACAAGAAATGTTTATAGATTTAAAATTATCGAAGAGGGCTGAAGAACTGTCATTCACTTCTTGTGTTGAAACACAGGAGGTCAAACCATACACCATTCCCTCAGTTCCTGTAACGGTCATCTGCCATGAGTTGGAGGATCTACTTTTGCTGTGTTCTTCTTCAAACTAGATCTCTGTTGCCTGTCATACTTAGCTTAACGTACTATTTTTCTTCTGTAACTTTCTGCCTCTCAACCTGTGCTACATCTCGGCGCTTCTTTTTTCCCTCTGGGTATCCTTCAAGTTGCAGAGGCCATGCTCTCCTGAACCTACTTTAATGGGAATTCTGAACCTGAAGACAAAAACAGGTCTATTCACTGATTCTAGTAATATGGCAGACTATATAATCTATATGGTTTATAGCTCTCTAGATACTTCATTTTTCCCCTTTTTGGACCATAAAATATGGCTGTCCAGGTACCAAGACTCCAATATAAAAGTCCGTTGATGAGGTTCCCTCCACTCCTCCTCCTGCTGTAAGGTAAGAACCTGTAGTTACAGGATATGTGGAACACCTGCTTTGCTTCAACACCTGTGTTCAGCTGGTGATTTTCTCTGTCATCTCATTCTTACTGCTAGAGAACATGCTCGTTGGCAGGTTCTACTAGGCCAAACAAAAAGGCTTTCAGTCTGGCATTTTGAGCAGAAGTTTGTGGCCTCAGTGGCTGATCCTCTACGCTTTGTTCTCACTGAAGGAGTTCAGTTTTATCGAAGTCTGTCTATGGATAATGTCCACCTGTTAACCTCTTGGTGAAGGCTCCTTGACTTATGTTCAGTTAATAGTTTTGTGGGTTTGCTAAACTTGATTAGGGTTCCCAGAATGGAGCTCTAATGGGAGCTGAATCTGGTTCTGTTCAAATCGCTGTGCTGAAGGTAGCTTTGTTTGTCACGTGCCTTATACACCACCTTTACTGGTGGTGGTTTTTATCCTGGCCATAGCACGGCTAGAAAGATAGGAGGTACCCAAGACATTATAGTCTTCTTGCTCTGGATAGTCTCCTAGAGGACCTGTTCTGGGTAACTACCACTGTCGCTGTTTAATTTGAAGTAGGAAATTTAACCTGTTTCTGTTTCACTAGCAAATCTACAGGAGAGAAGCTTCACTGCAAATAGAGGGTGCAAAAAGGCCACAGGAGCCTTTCAAATGATCTGCAAAGTTGGGTGTTTTGTTGTGGAGAGATTCGAAGTAGTGAGTAAGTCTCTGAAACAAACAAGGGGTGCCTTTAAGTCTACCAAGATGGAGCGTGTCTACATGTAGTCATCTCATTCTGCAGTTTGCTCTTGAAAGCAAATGCAAACTACAACAGTGACCTTTTCTATTTTTTCTTTCCTTAATGGTTAAAATGCCAATTTTTCATGTTCATGATCAGTTACAGTATCTGACTTCATTTCATCAGTGTTTCTTGCAGAAAAGTAAATAAACCAATGAACCAAAGAGGTATTTGAAGCAAAAGTGTCTTTATTGAGGCTACGTTTGAGTTCAAGTATTTGTTTAGCTCAGGTAAGTTACAGGAATAGTGCAATAAACCAGCCAGCCTGGTTTGCCAGTTTTGCTTCCTTCTCCAAGGCGGTGCGTGCCTCCTGTGCCTGTGGGGCATTCTTCAGTTGCCTTTGTGTTCCCTGTGGTGGCTCTACCTCTTGGAGGGATCTCCGAGAGAATACGTAATAGTTTGTTGGATTCTTCTTTTTTTAATGCTTTCATGAAGTTCACTTGCATAACATTGCAAATATTGATAAAGGTCTTGTTGCATGCAATGAAGGTATTTTATAGAGGATGAAAAGAAACTAGAACCACAAAGTCAGCAAATTCCATTGTGAACTATACCACTGAAGTAAACATATATTTCTTGCTTACTAATTTTTTCCTTTAAAAACTTTATTTTACAGACTTTTTTTCTAGTAAAGAGGATAGGATCAAATAATGTCTTTCTAGAGATTTTAATATAATCTGTAAAGCAAGAAATACAGAAGTTTAACGTGTTTGGTCTACTCTCTGCATAGTCTAGAGGTTTCTAAAATATAAATGGTGTTTCTGGATCCACATAAACCTTGTTTTGCTCAGTTTGTTCAGTGGCATGAAGGTGACTGTTATAAAAAATTGAAAAATGGGTTACTGCATGCCTTGGATGTGTACAGAAGACTTTAGCAAATGTTTCATCATAGCTTGGATTATTTTATTTTGTAGTGCTGATTTTTATTTATTTTTTTTTTAACTCCCAGGCGTGTTTTCTATTCATATTATCTCTACGAGAATACTTAATCCTGCTTTGATGACATCACTTCTTTTTTAAAAAAGATGGGGATAAGTATAAAGCAAATACTTTTTAAAGCTTTAACACCGGGGCCGGGCCCCGCGGCGGCTGCTGGCCGGAGGGTCACCCGGCGGCGGGGCCGAGGCGCGCAGTGGCGGTAGCCGCTCGCCACCACCGTCCCCTCTTTGTCCGCCGAGACAGCCTTTGTTTCCCCGCGGGGCAGTTGCGGGGCACGGTAAGAGGAAACCCTGCCCGGGGTTCGCCGGTTTCCGCCCGCCGCCGCCAGGCCGCGGCCCTTCAGCTGGCTCCTCCGCGCCCGGGCCGAGGCGGGCGCTCACCTGAGGCGGCCGAACCCCCGGCGGGGCTGAACTTTGCATCCTCGGGCCGGCGGCTGCTCTCCGACAGGCGGAGCGGGGCCTGTGCCCGCAGACGCTGCGGCGCCGTCCCATGTCTATAAATACGAACCTATATACTTTATACCGACCTGCAGCGCCCCGCCTCAGGAGGGCGGCGCCCGTGGGGGCAGGTGCGGCCGGCTGCAGCTGTCAGCGGGCGGGTACCCGGCCCCGGCGGACGGGCGCCCCCGCGGCCCTTCGCCCC